AGCCGATATCGTCCTTTATTGTGTGTGTGTGTGTCGTTTCCGCTGTTATTTAGTGTATCAGGTTTTAGTGTGATCTAGAATCTGTGGTGATGAGCTAATAGACTCAATTATACTTCCCTGTGAGTAAATAAAATAAATATTATTAATTCATAACAGAAACCCGAAAAAGACGGACTACATTCCTAAGGGGATATAAATGAGCCGGATCGTTGTCGAGTTAAGCCTTTCTGCGACTGTCTTTTGAGGGCCCTTTTTTGCTGTTTCTGAGATCTTTTGAAGTAGTTTACTGGACGTTTTTCCAACACAATTCGATTGAACACGACCGTAGTTGTACCGTATAAAATGACAGGTATTTCATAATCAACGCTAAGCTTTTATTATTCAACCAACGTTGTATTGTGCTTGATTGAATTCTATGTGCGTTGCTGTGAGTTGAAAGTTTAAAACGGAAGATGACTATTCCAACATTGAAATCAAAGTACGATTAGTTCAGCTTAGTACGATAGGAGATACAAGCGACTTGTTCAAATTTCATTAGCTAATCATTTGAAATCATACAAGGAGGATGGCCAGCATTGTTGACTGTAGCGATAACTAATGTTAAAAGGATCGCGAAAGGCAGTTTCAAATAGATGAGAATGAAACGTCGGAGTGGGACACAGGACCAGGAAGAACATGCAACCTCCACAAGGGAGAATTTCATTCCGTGCTTTGTTTTTGTTCTTCTTCACACACACACACACACAGGCTATTGTCATTCGAATCCACGTGAAAGATGAGTACCATGCAAGTCTTTTGGACATTCGACGTGCAATTGTCGTCACTGCCCTCGTCACTGCACTGTTGTGCCACATTGGTTTACGTTTACTATTGAACTATTTGCACAAAGGTCGTGATATACGGCACCGAACTCGACATATGGCAGAAGCTGGACTACCCAGTTCTTCGTATTTCAGTATCCGAATGACATAATCCCGTCCCCCACCCCGTCCGTCCGTCCGTTTCACCTTGAACGTCCAATAGATACCGCACAACACGTCCATGTATCTCCAACAATTGTCCCTGTTGTTCCAATTCCTTGCATTTGTTGTCCCCAGTTATTCACAGTTTCATTTGGAGATTGATGTGTTTTTCACATTCCATCCTTAGCCCTGATTACCGATTTCTTATGTGTTTCTATCATTGATATCATCATTGATATATCAGTTCGTCGTAGTTGTATTTTTAGGCTTCCGAGTTTAACATGTCTCAGCCATCCATGATCAGTGAGTTTGTTAAGCTAAAGTTTTCTAATTATTGATATAAGTATATATCTCTCTCTATCTATATAGATATATATATTTACCACCAACTTTTTGAGATGGAGATGCGGAATCGGTCTTGTCTTTACTGTCCCTTGCTCTCGACAACCAGACAGGTTTTAAGTACAACGACCAGTTATTCAAGGGCAAGTACGTTGTGCCCTCAACAACACCGGAAGTTGAGCATGACTACGCTCGAGGGTATCCGATAGCGAAAAGCTTACCGAACCTTTCGAAATGGCTAAACTTCACACGAGATGATACAGACATAGGCAAAAATAGAAGATCTAGCTAGATTAGAAAGATCAGGAGTCTACGCTAGAAAATGAGAAGAGTGCACGAGCGAATGCTCCAAGCAGCCAATGCCTGCAACCATGCAAAAGCAGATATTCGTGACTATGGGATTCGATCCGTCTGCTGTTCATCACACAAATGTGTAATAAAAAAGCATCCATGCAGAACAGTTAGGCTAAACATGGCGGGAACTTCAAGTGGGTTACAGTGTTAGTCTGATGCCATTACAACAACGACCCCCTGCTCGTTGCTCAAGAAAAGTACCGTAGGAAGCTCTCGATCAACAGGGTTTATACTGTGTGTGTGTGTGTGTGTGTGTGTGTGTGTGTGCAGTAAACTCACCCAAAATATGTTATTCCCTCAAGTTGACTGTTTTGTTTTTCCCTGTTTCTGTACCCATATTTTTCGTTGACCCATGGTGATTTTTGGTGCCTTATCTGTATAGATATATCATGATCATCTTCGTACAGCGAAATACAGTGAAGGGAACTTCACTAATCGCTACTAAACTCGTATTAAGATAGGTCGACTTTTTGGGTAACTCTGATTGGATGTATAGTCAAGCGTTCCATCTCCAGTAAGCTCAGTGTAACATGAAAGCCAGTGGTGGTCTCAGTTGTGGCGCACTACAGCGCCTGAAATCAACGGAACACCTAACTTTGGACTAATCTACGTTTTTGGTTGGCCTCCGGGGTGAAATGTCCAATTTGGTCAGTGTGTCCGGGGATTGAGGTATCCTCATGAGTTTTGATTCCGGTCGGGTATGTCCGTGCCACTGAAGACAATCTCGCTCGAGAAACATAGATATCTTTTCTATAGATCCAGAGAGTGTTGCCGAATTTTAGATTTCGGAACATGGTCCTACCTCGATTGTCGATCATATATCAGAGGGAGTAATAGTGGAATCTTTCCNCTTTCCGGTTTCGTTTCCTGTCATCCAATCTGTGTGGCCACGTTTCAAAAGTACGTATTATGTAAGGACAGAGCGAACGTCTGCTCGCTAAAGGTGCAACTTTGTGTGGAGGATTTGTTTTCCGCATATACACAAGAGTTCGTTAAGCTGTAGAAATGCCGTCATTGGGCAGTGGAAGCAAAGTTTAATCTCTGACTTTGTCGTTTGGCTGAATAGTTGTCCCTATGTACTTGTTCTCGTGCTTCACCGTTGACATGGGTGTGTTTTGACGGGTCTGGGGAGGTTACGAAGGCCTTCGTTTTAGAGGTATTTATCCTTGAACTGAGGACTTTGCCTTCACATTCCATGGGATCAAGTAGTGACTGTCGACTGTCAGGCTTGTCCCCGAAACTGACAATGTCATTACCTGTTTGGCGATTAGGGATCCAAGTTTCGTGAATGATTTCAATTCTTTGAGAATCGATAAGACAACAACGCATGATCCAGTCTATGGTGAATTGGTAAGTGACTTCCCTGTTGGATACCGAAACCAAGTGAATATTCCCCGGAATGTTCACCATAGGTATGGGCACTCGCTCGCATTGTACTTCTGAGGGCACGCCCCGGGCGGGGTGTAGTGTGTATTTCAGAGTGACTGGTTATTGCCAAAGCCAAATGCAACACGAAAATCAATGAAGAAAGATGAATTTCACTGTTTGCACTTATGGCGATGTTCTGCAATTCGACCTACGATAATGATCCAATTGTCACAACAATTCCCTCAGTGAAAATCAAAATAACTTGGGCTTTTTTGTGCTAAGTTGAACAACAATGTTTAAGCAGAATGAATGTGGAAACTTTGGCCTTCATACAGACGAGGTCGATATCCCTGTATTTTCCGTAGATGTTTTTATCACTTATTTTGGAAAAGATAGTAGAAGAACTCCAAAAAATGTTTTCGTATTCCATTTGGATCAGAACACTGCAATCGATGGGGTGCTATAGAATCGGCAGACAGGATGTAGACTCCAGATGGAATACAGTACTCCCCGGGTGCTTCCTGATCTGTATAACCATGATGGCTGCAACGATCTCCTTTGCGTTACATAGTTCCAAGTTGATTCGATATTGCTCGCTAACGGCTGATAGCACCATACGGTTGGGCTGGGAGGGAGAGTGGTTGAGCAGGTGACCTAAATCATCGACCCATCTTTAGATATTTCCGCCCTATCTCGATACGAGGTGGCCGCTGTTTTCTCGAAGTGGAGCTGATTTTGTGGCTTTCCTAAACAAAAGCGTATGAGTTGGAAATGTTTTCGTGTTGGAAGCGCGTAGTTACGATAGTGGACTGATTGTAGTCTACAAGCGTAACCAGGCTGTCGCAACTGACCTACCTGACCTAACTGAAACCGAATAATCCCATGACCAGGTTGTGAAGTCCTCAGTTAGTACTANGGGGGGGGGGGGGGGAACGGGGCTCGTCGCCTACCGGGGAGACTGTAGTATGCTCAGTGCGCATTGTCGAGACAAATCTATTAACGTGAACGTAAATGTGGTACAAAATGGCATTCTCTGTGCCATTCATCTTTTTACTGAGTGGCTGTCCAGATGTGGGTAGAGAGCCCCTCCAAGTGCGTTTGGCCGCAGAGGTTCTTATCATCCTTTCTCGTTCGTCTCATCGTTCCCCTGTTCACACCCTGATTCCATCTACTGGATAGGTATACAGTGCGATTGCTCCATCGTTTCACATTACCTCGTCCTTCTCACCCGTGAACTTGAACAAGTAAATTCCCTCTGATCCTGTCTGTGATCTGATTGGATCATATTACGCGATCTGTGGCACTTGGAATCCCTCACCCCAATACGAGACTGTCTGATCATCGGCTTGTGCATTTTGTAATGATCTTGTTGTCTCGTCCAGCCCATTCGTGTGCTAATGGCACTCCTACTGCACATTCGAAGTGCACTGGGTCTGTCTGAGACCTAAAGCTGTAAACAAGATGTGGTTTCTGGCTCGGGCTAGCTAGGCACGCACCAGGTCCCCTGAGGCGGCTGCACCATCCGACCGATCGATACCTGATCGGTCGTGTGATTTTCGGGCCGGCACAGGAGGAGGACAGGTTCCGAATCCGATGCTGCTTCAGTGTTGGTAGAGAATCATCACAAGAGAATCCGTTGTGGAGCAGTGCGCCATGTGGGAAATTCAGAATGGAAAATGCTCAAGCGATGATGGTACTGGGCCAGTGCTTGAGTGGTATAAGACACACGCACTATTCTTCGATGCGGGTTCACAAGCCAATAATTACAATAAAACTTTAACCTTATCTTACTTACGGACTACAATATCACCTAATGTAGACCTACGAAAAGCTCTTCTTGTTTTTTTTCTGAGCGGGCTGTTTTCGTGTTGAACGATCTCTCTAACTACGTCGGAGATAGAATTCCGAAAGAAAGAAATAACAAATAGTATGGAAAAATGCATATTTATGTGATTAACGTTGTTCGCTATGCTTTCCATTCTGCTGCTTGCGTTGCAAAATCCGGTGAAGATAGTTTCCTTCCATCTTCAGAACGATAGCAGTTGGAGTAGTTTCAAGCTGTGCCGCAATACCCTGTTTAATTAAGCTCTTCGATCGGTCTCAGATCAGGGGCAGAGGCAGAGGGAATTTACTTATTTAAGGTCCGTGTTAAGAGGGACGAGACGATGTAATGCGATGGAACAATCGCACTGTAGTTCAGTGAGGGAGAGAGTCGTGTTGATAAGAGTAGGTCACATTTACCCGTAATCCTTCCAATAATGAGAACCTTGCACCGGGTGCCTCATGGATTAGGAATGTGATATCGGTGTAACAATCGATCCTCGGTTGCCTTATTCTTGATCCGGGACTCTTTCCTACGTTAGGATGAGTTATTTTGGTAGAAGAATCCATGAAGTATTTTGAACAAATATTACGATCACTCTTCTCCTGGGACGCACCCATAAGTAATTCGAAAGTGAGTAAATACCCAAAACTGCGACATTGCATTTTGCTCAGTGGGTTTCGCTACTAAACAGTATGAAATGGAGCGACGAGTTTTGTGACAAAGTAAACCGGATTGATGAAAATTACATTACTCACTTTTTCCCGATATTTATAATAACCATCTATACCACCGAGGCATAGTAGTGTTTGAAATTTTCCAAAATTTAATGGAAACAACTTTTCTCCAATCAATCCGCGACAAAACGGTAACTTAACCTATTCTTTGAATTTCTTGATGTTCTTTCTGGGATCTGCTTGTACCAATCTAATAAAAATAAAGGAAGAAGCTAATAAAGCTATATCATCTACACCCGAAGTATTACCATCGGTATATCCAAGATTCGACTGCTGTAACCCCCCCCCCCTCCTGCCCCCCATTAGAA